TTGGACCGGCAATGAGGTAATCTGATTGGTTGATTTTAGTTATTGGCCCTCTGAATTAACTTAGTCGTGTAATAATTATGCTTATTTCCCCAAGGGTACGAACCAATTAACTGACGTGATGCAAAACTGAAACTGAGGTATTCACAAAGAGACCAAAATGCCACGTGAATTATGTTCAATCACTGTTAACAGGGTGTGAAAATCTTGTGTGCTGCGGTCAACTGGGACTGAAGAGTAGTCTTTGACATACATTCATGAAGTAAAGCAACTGAAAAGTACTGCCAAATCTATGATCTTGAATCTAGCGACAACAGCGGAAGTTAGAGTTGCATCATTCAAGCGAAAGCATGATTCCGGTGGCGTCTGTTAAGTTCCTGTGTCTCAATCGTGTGACTGTTTCAATTCATTGCTTTGTTTGACGTAGCCGCTCATTTGCGGCTATTAAATACGCAGAAAATACTGATGAAGAAAATGAAACTGCCAGAAGCTGAACACGGCTTGCAACTTATTCCTTTTTATTTCGAATATTTGACTCTGTAGCGAGCAAACACAGCCACATTGGGTAAGTAAAACAGTCAGTTTAATAATGCTCCCAGGGTCTTCATGGCCCAGTTAGTAGCTAAAGCATGGAACTTAAGTTGCGGTTAGTGGCTGAATTATTTGGTGCAAAGATCACTACCTTCGATCCGCATTTTATCCGGTTCAGTTTGGGCGGACTGAGAAGACGAACAAATGTGAACAATAAGAGAAAAATCAGATTTCCATGACAGAGTTGGCTCAGTACGGCTCATGTTGTTCGCTCTTGTAAGCACGCAGCTTATTCAGCAGTGAAATTCTCGAGTCTGACTGATTCGCCCGACCGGCAATTGTTTTAATTTCTGTTCAACAATTGGTTGCTATGGCTGTTGGCTGGCGAGTGGTGAGGCGCCGAGCCTACTACCGTCAAAGTGGATAGCCACTGGGAGCAAGCTTTCTAATTGTTCTAACATAATGCACTTATCAATCAATCAAATAAAACTTGCATTTTTTTAGAAACTTCATCAAAAAGCAAAGTCGAACTCCATTTCACAAATAATCATATCAGCCAAGCAAAGTTGTGTCAAAGAAGATCAGTGCCACTTCTACTTTCACCAACACAACGCTTAAGATTGTTTTCACACCGCACTTCACAGTAATTTGACATGCAACACGAGGTGCATTTGTGTGTACCACGTGAACAACCTTACAATTTCAGACGCACCCATGCAATCTGCAACGGATATTGAACTGTCGCGTTATTTACCGCGATGAGAACGATTTTAACAACCGTAGAATAACTAACCGTTAAAACCAGTCAGGCTTTCCTGAGTCTTTACTTCAAACGTCACGTAGATTCGTACACTTTTTTACCGTCGAATTTTTTAAAGTGGAACCCCGTCTTACGGCCACCACGATAATACGGCCATCTCGTTATTTACGACCACTTTATTCAATTCTTGGCATGTTCTTGGCCGCGAGCGAAAGTTCAGTCAGTCATTTTCTTTACTTAAAGAATCCCTTTAATACGGCCCGTTAATACAGCCAGATTTAAAACAAGGGTTGTGATCATTCGAACTTTCTTTGTCAAACTTTTTGACCAAACTTTCGCTCATTTTTCGGCTCGCAAATGATAGCGTTACCTGGGGCGATAGTTCGCTAATTGAATTCTGCTTACTACCGCACGGCGCGCGAACCAATCAATTAACGTGAGGCAACTGAACTGAAACTGAGATAAACACGAAGTACAGACAAAAGCCACGAGTTTAATGTTCAATCACTGTGAAGAGGGTGAGAAAATCTTGGGTGGGAAGATTAGCCTTTGACATACATATAGCTCATGAAGTAAAGCAAGTAAAACGTACTGCCAAATCTATGATCTTACAACTTTGAACTTCCAGCGACAACAGCGGAAGTTTCAGTTGCATCATTTCTGTTCAAGCAAAAGCATGTATTCCGGTGACGTCTGTTAAGTTTCTGTGTCTCAATCGTGTTATTGTTATTATTTCAATTCATTGCCGTGTTTGACGTAGCCGCCCATTTGCGTGGCTATTTAACACCCGGAAAAAAGTGAATATTTGACTCTGTAGCAAACCAACACAGTTAGAGCTGGTAAGTATAACAGTCAAGTTTATTTAACAATGCTCCCAGGGTCTTTATGGCCCAGTTAGTAGAAACATCATGGTTCAGTTCACTTTCATGGAACTTGTGTCTAGGTTCTCATGGCTGAATTAGTTGGTGCAAAGAACACTAGGTTTGATTAGCGTTTTATCCGGTTCTGTTTGCGCGGAGTGAGAAGACGAACATGGTGAACAATAAGGGAAAAGTCGGTTCTCTATACTACGGCTCATATATTAGCTCTTGCAGATACGCAGTATATGCAATTATAAAATTAGCGAGTCTGACTGATTCTCCCGTGAACGTTTTCTATTTAACAATTGGACGACGAGTTCGAAGTTTCTATCGGCCGTTAGTTGGCGAGTGCTGAAGCCTTGAGCCTAATATTTCAACGTGGATAGACACCAAGGGCGAAACCGTCTGATAATTGTTCCAGCCGAACCCACTAATCAATCTTTTAAATAAAACTTAGTTTTCGTTTAGAAACTTCACGAAAAAGCGAAGTTGATGTCAAGTCGGACTTGCTGCAGTCTATCGATCGTTGAACAGCGCCAGCGCAGCCAATCAGATAGCACGTTTACCTGATAGTTACAGTCAGTGGGTTATGCTGTCCGCTTAGTAGAAGACCCATAAAACACCATTGCTTCGACGTTTTGTCAAAAGGGAAAATTTTTCTTGATTTTAAACTTAAAATAATCCATAAAATGATGGATTTTGGACTGCGATCGCGATCTCCAATGTTCAAACTTACCCCTCAAATTTGTCAGTTCTCCACCCCACCAAGTTCCTTCCTTCCTTCCTCCATCACCTGCTTCACTTGAACTTTCTCAGACATAGTTATTTCAGTTCTGTCATTATCTAGTTATAAGTTTGTGAAGTGTGTATAGAATTGTAGAAAAATAATATGCTGAAATCTGACCTTGACAGTTGATGTATGAGTAAATTTGTCCTCAGGCTGAGATTCCATAGTGCCTAATTAAGTCCTTAGATAACGTCAACAAACGAGAGTGTATCGAGGTTAAACATTGTTCTTCAGTAGGTTGTGCCACCGGGGGGTACGTGATCAAAGCGAAGTGAAATACAGCCATTCTATTATAAACATCGACAAAACAGTACAAGCTGTCTATATAAGTCGCTGCTTCAATTTCTGCCGGAAGCAACATAAAAACCATAATCGCGTTTCAAGTTATAAGAATTCATGTATAATTACTTATGGAGTATCTACGATCATCTTTTTATGCATGAGAGCTAAACGGAACTAATCAACCATAGACGTCAGCATTAACAATCAAAACATTAACAAAAGGAAAAACTACTCTTAACCTTATTGACATTCTGCTCTTATTCTCTCGAAGGAACACGAGAAATAATCTCTTCTCTACATCGAGCTGACTTCATTTTCACCCGGCCATCACAGAGCAACCAAAGATGCACAGGCTAACTAGCAAAGACAAACTCAGCCGGCTGCTCCGCTTAACTCCTCTTATCTTAGTCATAGCTGGGTCTGTTTTAATACTAGTGGGTAACAAGGCTTCCTTAAAGAGCTGTAAAATTGCTGGTCCTGTGGTCGTAGCTGTCGGCGGATTGTCATTACTTTTCATTACAATCTGGAGTACACGCCAAGACAAGCTTGTTGAGAACGCAGTTTGTGAAGAGGCTGTGATCGCAGCAGAACACTTCAATAGAACTGCCTTGAACACTGGCTCTAACGATCCGCAGGGACCGATTCATCACTTCGAAGTAAAAGCACCGTCGGAATCGTCTTGGAAAGAAATGGTACCTCCTTCATACGAAGAAGCTGTTGACAATAATAACGGTATAGGAAATTCGCAAACTAGCGCTGAAGTTGTATCATGTGATGATGACAAAGAAGCGAGTTTGGAGAACACGACTTCTGCACCCCCGTCTTACGAAGAAAGACATGAAAATGCGACGACAGCTTCATAATCATCCTTACTGGTCCTCGTGAATTTAGTGCAAACAAATAACTCCTTCTTGGAAATAAAAAAAACCCTGTGGGCCGAGAATGAAAAGGAGGAAAACGTTGTACGACATGCGGAAGTTTAATATCACTGCAAGAAATTGCGACAAAATAAACTTGGTGACGAAGTAAATTGAAAGTAACTCATTGGTAGAACGTTTGCAAATTCGGGAATTTGTTATAAAGGAGATATCATAGCTCTCGAAAAATTTCTGTTTGTTGACGGCTAAACAGGTTTTAGGCCGGTGTAGCTGCATACTCTACATCCTAGATTTTAGAATCTAACTGATTCAAACGAAACAAGAAATATTCACAGGAAGATAGCAAACGATGCATGGCGTCTGGCTAAGCCAATATCATTTTTTAAGAACACGT